CCGATCTGCTAAGAGCGTGTAGAAAATATGCTGTAGACCATGTGTCTTTTAGCGACCACTGCCTTGTTTCGTTTTCACTGTGCTCATCCAAAGAGACACAAAAAAAGTTTAGTTGGGATCTTTGGAAATGCAACACCAAGCTCCTTGGGGGCGAATACTTTGTTAATTCTATTGGCCAAACCTTAGAAGAGTTGGCGAAGGTGGGAGGGAACGATTTTGGGGTAAAGTGGGAGCTTTTTAAAGAAAATGTGAAAATGAGGGCTATAGAACGCTCAAGTGTTTTGAAATATGAACAGGAAAAGGTAAAGCGCGAATTAAACGACCTACTAAAGGAGTTGTTACGCGAAGAATGTGTGTCCCCTGGGCTTTTTACTGACGATATTATAAGCCTTAAGAAGCGTCTGGAAGCATTAGATACTGAGCAGTATCAGGGAGCTGTCGTAAGGGCGTGTTTGAAACGCCTATATGAGGGGGAGATGCCCACTAAAAGAACTGTCGGCATATAAAAAAAGATATGCTGTAAAAAATAAAATCGGCGAAATTTTTTTATCGGGGAATGTTGACTAACGATAAACAGGGTATTGAGAAAGCTTTTGTTAATCATTACAAAGAGCTCTTCAGTTATCGCACTGCCAAGTGTGGTGATTTCCGGAATTTCTTTTTACCGCTTATGCCGAAAGTGGTTGATGACGTCAAGGAAAAACTAGAACAACCTATTATGTTGAGTGAAATTGAAAAGTCAATAGATGATTTGAAGATCGGAAAATCGCCTGGGCCTGATGGTTTGGGAGCCGAATTTTATAAAACATTTAAGGACCAAGTGGCTCCTTCCTTGCATTGTGTGATTGCCGAGGCGTACCGACTTAAAGTTTTACTCCCGTCATCTTTGTTTACCCACACCGTTCTAATTCCAAAAAACGAGGATCAAGTAAAGCTCCGCTCGGTCAGAGCCTACCGCCCGATTACCTTGACAAATGTTGACTATAAGATCTTTATGAAAGTTCTGGCGGAGCGAACTTATGAAAGTTCTGGCGGGAAATACGCGGCTTCAACTTACAAGCCACAGAGGTTCGCATTTTGGCCTACGCGGAAGATGTAGCTATTTTTTGTGCGAATCAAGAAAGTGTAAAGAAAGCCATAGACCTAACAGGGAAGTTCTGCGAGCAGACGGGTAGTGCTGTGAATTGGCAAAAGTGTCTGGGCTTTTGGCACGGTGACTGGCCCTTGAAACCCAATATTTTTGAGCGTGTGACGTGGTCATCCACGCCGACGCGTTATCTTGGAGTCCCGATGGAGCAGTACAGTGACAACACAGAATTTTGGTGCGAACAGATTCAAGCCTTACGCGAAAAGGCAGATGAGTGGGGGAGTAAGTGCTTTTTAATTTTTGCGCGTGCCTCAGTTTGTAATATTTTTTTTTGTCGCTAAGATCTGGTATTTGTTACAGGTCTTGCACTGTTCGCGAGTCAACACTCAGCGATTGCATCGTGTTTTAGCGGTTTTTATTTGGGGCTCGAGTTGGGAGCGCATGAGCCGAACCAACCTTTTTTTGCGTGTGAAAGATGGTGGTCTTGGTTTGTCGCATCTCTTTGTCAAGCAACTGGTGAATAGGTTTATTTTTCTAAGGGACCAAAAGGACAGCTTTTTACCCACGGTCATTCAGGTGCGGCTGCGCAGTGCGCTGCCCGAGTTTATTGTCTCGACAGATGTAGACCTGAGCCCCGATGTGCGAGGTTATTTGAAAGAGGTTGTTTCCTCCTACCGGTTTCTAGTGGCTCGTTTTTCACTTGAATATCTGTCCAGTGTGTCGCGCAAACGGCTGACCAAAGACCTCATTGTTTCTCTCCTTCCCATTCCGCTGTACCGTTCGGTGTTCAGCGCGGGAAAGGGGCAGGATGTTTTAAAACGTGTCAAGCGAATGTTGGTCCCCGCTTACACCAAAACTTTCTTCTTTAAGCTGCATAGTGAAACCCTGCCGGTTAAAGTGTGGCTGTAAGGGAAAGGTATCTCTGTAGTGTCGTCAGTGAACTGTCTTTTGTGTAAACATCCGGAAAAACTAGAGCATGTGTTCCTCAACTGTTGGGACGCAGTGTTTCTATGGGACGCCTTTCAAAGAACTTTAAAAAAAGACCTTCCGTTAATGCCTCATGGGATCCGCTATCTTTGTGTCGAGGGAGGGAAGAACCTTGTGCCATATGACATGATCATGCTTGTCGGCCTACATAGTTTGTGGCGATGTCGTATGGCGGTGAGACACGCAGACGTCGACGTGCGTCCTGCGCTTAAGTATTTTGTTGAAACAGTCTGTTACCTAAAGGAAGTATTTAAAATGCAGCAGCCTCCTCCTGACCATTTGCCGCTTCTTGAGGAGCTGGCGAACCTCAAGGATCCGTAACTGACTGGACAAGTTTGGATATGTCATTCCTCTGTTCTTGTTGATGTTCTCTTGTATACATTAGCCATTGTGGCTTTGGTTTGTTTTTAACGTCATAGCCTTCTGCAACCTTTCACGTGTGCCAAAGTCAGGTAATAAAGAAAAAAAAATGTGCTCGTAGCTCAGGGGGTAGAGTGTCGGGCTGCTCTGCACAAAAGAGCGAGTTCGATTTCGATAAAAAGCGCGGAGCGTTTTTTATCGAAATCGAACTCGTTACTTCGTTTTAATTCGATAAAAAACGCGGAGCGTTTTTTATCGAATAAAAGGGGCACTTACCGCGCAGCGATTCAAATTCGAAACACGTGACCTTCATGTGACCGGAGCGCAGTGCCCTCTGCTAATGCAGCACGAACCCTGTTTGACATCACGTGAGAGCCCTCTGTCGGACGCACCTCGAACCATGTGACATCACACGTGCGACGCCCTGAGCGCCGCAATTCTAAAGCCCCTGTATACGGAAAAGTAGCGACATCCTTTGAAGAATGCCGCCTGCTATCTTGGAGCGATCCAGGCGGCGCTACCGTCGACGCGCGAGCGCGAAAGAGCAAAATACAACAATAAGAGAGTGCATGAGGGAGAAGGAGGGAAAAGGAATGCCTATGCTGTCGGAGTGCAGTGCTAGCTACGAGCTCATGTTTGCCAATCAAATAACGCCTACTGTGCTACGTCACGGCTTTCGCCGTGTTTCTTTGAGCACATTCTTCGAGGCTGGTAGACCGTGACAGTGCGCTTTTGAGACTTTGTGTATGTATTTTGCGTGTCTTTCAGCCTTTGACTGTGCTCTGACTCAAGTATAGGAAGGCCGTCTGATATCTTGGAGCGATCCAGGCGGCGCTACAATCGACGCGTGGGTGTAAAAGAGCAAAACACAAAGACAAAAGGGGTGCGTGTCAGAGGAGGAGGGAGAAGATGTCGCTACCTTTCTTATTCAGGGACATTACGCAATTTAAGTCCTATAGCGCCCTATGTCGAACGAAGCTCGGTTCCTGTGACGTTACGTGGTTGTTATCAGATGATGACCGCAGCTGTCAACACCTGGTCAACCACGGTTGTGGTTCGATGTCTGAGGTTTGAGGTTTGAGGTCTGCGTTCATGGTAAGTGGCACGCGCCTGACACGCGACGCCTCGGCGTCACGTAACGCGTCGGGTAAGGCTTTTTCGTGACGCCTCGGCGTCCTGTAACTCGTCGGCGTAACGCTTTACTGTTACGCCGACGGCGACGCCACTCAAGCCGGAAGCGGGAACGCTCTAAGATGGATCAACTAAGGTTTTAAAGTGGTTAAGGTTTTATATTCAGAAATGCTTCTGTGTCTAAATAATCCTCGAACATGAAAGCATCCCGGCGATGTTGCCGCGATTTCGCTGGTGCAGTGCTGTCAATCGCTGGTTGCACAACAGTGCCCTATATACCGTTTGCATATACCAATGATAGAACTTCACATATTTTCAGCAATATCGTTTAGAAGCTGGCAGAAATGGCAAATGTTGCCGTCATGTAGCCGAGATGCCGACATGTTGGTTGGACGCTTGTAGAAACGGCAAATGTTGCCGTCATGTAGCCGGGATGCAGCAATATCTTTTGGAAGCTGGCAGAAACGGCAAATGTCGCCGTTATGTGGCCAGTTTAGTGAAAGCATATGGAATACTGGATCTAGACTGGTCAAGCTGGGCCCATATGGGGCCACCTTAACCATGCTGAGGAATAAGTTGGCACAATACCTTGTGCTGCCTGGGCTGCGAAGGCCGAGCAGGCTACGAGCCTTGGTATTCTTTGGTTCTCACAGTGGAAGATAACACAAAACCCGCAAGCATCCTGAAGAGGCAAATAAAAAAAAAAGTTTCAAGGAAAGCCGGCACACTCCGAATGCACAATGCAGGTGGGGAGGAGCGCTGACTGGGTTTACAGAGCTCAGGCGGGTGGCATAACTTTTTGGCTGATAGGGGTCTCTCGAGTCGCAAAATGGCGGCGGCCAGAGCGCTATTTCTGCAAAGGTCTATAGTCACCTGACTTCCGGCCATAAGCTTCCGTGTTTGTGTTTCGGTTTCGAACAGGCGAACAAAATACCGCCGCCCAGAGAGTCCTCAGTAGAATGGTCTATAGTTGCTGACAGCTTAAAGGGATGGTGAACCGAACATTTTAGTGTCTATATTAATAAGTAGCGTACACTATCTTTCCATGAGTCTGCAGCGGCCGGTGTGCGCGAGCGCACGCAGCGGAACTGACGCCATCATATCCCACATTCAAGTTTATTAAGCGTGAATGAGGGATATGATGACGTCAATTTCGTCGCCTGCGCTCGGGCACACCAGGGGCTGCTGACTCACGAAAATATAGTGTGCGCCGCTTATTATAGACACTGAAATGTTAGTTTCACCATCCCTTTAAGCTGTCAGTAAATATAGACCATTCTACTGAGGACTCTCTGGGCGGCGCCATTTCTTTCGCCTGCAGCACCATCCACAGGCATCCGTGCATTTCAACGGAATCGTCGGAGTGGAGGAGGAAAGGGCACGGGCCGTTCTCGTTGGTTCTGTTCATTCGGGCATTTCTGGTCGGCTCTACCGCCGGAACTGCCCAAACATGGAGGCTCATTTCGCTCTCTCTTTTCACCCCGGTAAATGGTGTATAGTTACTGGAAGAATTTTGTTTTGTTTGCAGATGAGCGGTAAGGAGCTGGAGAAGAGCCTGTACCACGACAGGCGTCACATGCCAGCACTTTCGATAGAAGAGGTGGACGGAGGTTGGGAGGTGGTAAGGTCACTGGGGCGGCTATTTCGACCAATTATTCAAACATTAATAGGAGCGTTGACTAAGAATCTCTCTAATCAAACACTGCCGATGAATAAACTTTATTACTGAGTCCACCAAAACATTTTTACATCCGAGATCTTTATGAATACCCAAAAGGCAACATACGCGATCTTTTGTTGACGTTTTAGGAACGCCCTTCACTTCCTTAACTTTAAAGGAAAGTGTAATCTAGTTGTTTTTGCTTAGCAACTTGGAAAAAAATAAATTTAAAAGCAGAAGGATTTTTTTTTTCAATCTGATGTTTATTTTTTTTTTTTTTCATCGGGTAGGCTAGACAATGTATCCCGTACGAAAATGTCAGATATGGCCCTGATATATTTTTTATACGTTCAGATATGATAATATAAGCACTCAAATAGGGCTGTATTTCGCCAGATATGGGAGCTAATACGGCCGTATTTCGCCATATAGGTGGGCAAATACTGCCAGATCTGGCCGTATAAGTGCGTTAATACGTCCATATATCACCATATACGCGTGCAAATATAGCGCCCCTGATAATGATATATGAGCCCGTTTTAGTCGTGCAAGCAACAAGTTATATCTACTCGCTAAGACACTAGTTGATTGATCCATATTACATGAGTCTCATGTAATTGGTTAACTATTGTCGACATCCTTAAAGTGAAGTTATTCCAGGTATTTGGACCAATTAATCAATTGCGTAATTTGAAGATTGAAAGAGAAATGAAATTCGGTTGTATGTTTGATGTGTGACAATATGACGAAGTGCGATCGGAACGCGAGTTAATCAAATAATGGATTTTAGTCGCAGCTTTTAGGCACCCGTTTCCGAGTTAAGCGGTGTTGGCGTCGCCATCTGTGTAACCGCCCCGCTAATTTTAGCGAGAAATTGAATTGGTACGTATGTCACGTGACGTCAATTTTCCCGCGAAATCTGACAGCGAAACTAATTTTGTTTTTCATGTTTCCCCGCTAAATTGAGCGGGTAAACACGAACCGTGAGCTTACTCAACATGCAAGACTCTACTTCGCCGTCCCAAATCATTTTCCCTTCGAACGGAAGCCGTTGCGCCCGGAGTACAATACGCAGCTCTTTCAAAACCGTGCGCGCAGCATCGCATCCGTTTGTTTGCGAGCGACGGCGATTCATCCCGCGTTGAAGGTAGGAAGATGTGCTGTCCGTGGAGTCTTTTATGTATAACTCGTTCGTAAGAAAAATTTGAAACAGTGTACGCGTGATTTTAAATTTATTGGTAAAAAAATATATATACATATTTATTTATCTATTTATTTGTGGACATCATGCACAAAAAAAATAGTCGCGTTAATTTTTTCATTTAAAATTATAATGTGAAACAGCGTAAAACATAGTATCTTGAAACTCGCATCGTTTTGAGTTCAACAGCTAGACTTCATAGAGCTCTATGTTCACTCGCTATTGACAGCAGAGTAGACGCTACGCGTGTTTTAGGCCAATCGTGTCTCCGGTTAGGGTCACGTGACTACAGTCTAGAATCTGGTGACAAAGCAGGACATCGCACCTACCTGGCCCCAAGGCCACACATAGCATTCACAGCACTGTCAACCTTTGTTACAAGTGACACATCTCCTCGTTGTGGCCCCAAAAGATAAGCCTTTTGTTCGTGAAACCCCGTTTTGGCCTCTCCTTCGACCGTTTTCTCTCTCCCTAAGCTGAAAGCGTTGTAAAAGGTAAGTGGTCACGTGGTTTGACGGATGACGCATTGGCCGTTGCCGACCTCGGAATGCGTTTAGCCGGACCTAGTTTGGCGTGTGAATTATCCCTCTGTGGCAGATGCGTATGTCTGCTTCTGCAAGCGATTTCTTCAAAGAAGCCCAAGAATTTTTTGTGATGCGTTTAGTGTTCGGTTCTAAAAACGACAGCTTGTGCTACATCGTGTTGAATCTTCGCGGGCACCTTCTCGTTTCTGTGTTCGAGTGGTGGTTTTGCCGTGGCCGTGTCGACATCTCCCTCGGACAACACCTTTCAAGTCGCGTCTCGTCAACGTAAGTGCGCTGCAACCTACTTCGTGACAATTGATCGTTTTTCCTAAATGTATTCTTTCAGATTACGTCTAGATTTAGGCCGTGTCTATCTCCTGGCAGCCTGGAGAATCATTGTGCAGAATGTTTCGGCTTTGGTGCGATTGCGCAACAAGCAGAAAGTTTCGACATGCCGCCGACAAAGTTTTGACGTGTCGCCAAAAAACAACAGCAGCACAGACTCTTAATTACGCGTTCCGAAATTTGGCGAGCGGCTTTACGAGTCGCTTGTAGAAAGATTGTTAGGATTTTGCGAAATACTGGTAAACAATGCTAGGTCATCCGAGGGCGCATCCCTCTCCTCCCGCTCGTACTTTCCCTAACTTGACGGACACTCTGTCTCGCGGTTCATGCCGACGAAACGATCGTCGAGATACCGGGTAATTGCTACAGCCGAGCGCGGCACAGTTTACCATTGCTTGCGCTGTGGAGGGTCGAAGAGTCAACTACCAGCACGGTGAATACCGTTTTTTTTTTATTCTTGCAGATTTGTTTTAAAAGAAGCCGTGAACGCTACACTTATGCGGTTTGTGCGAGAGTGAAACGCCCGGGGGACGTTATGTAGTTTGCTAATCTTTACGATAAGTCGGCTAATTAAATAAAATACTTTAACTTTTAATTAGTGAAAATAGACATATGGTTTCAATTAGAAACTTGCTGAGCGTCGTCCAAAACCCCTAAACCAGTCATTTTTAGAAAGACTGAGTGCGTGTGAAGCACAGTAGTGTGCTGAAGTTACTGCTCGTGGACCAGGTACAAGGCTGGGGCTAGATAAGAGACAGAAAAATTGCGCGGGCGCCTTACCGAAACCGCTAGCCTTGTACCTGCTCCACGAGTGGTGGCTTTAGTGCACTTCTCACGCGCTGAAAGACTTTCTGAAAATGACTGATTTAGGGATTTTCGATGACGCCCCGCTAGCTGCTTATTGGAACCGTATGTCTATTTTCACTAATTGAAATGTTCATTAGTGAATTTTAATTAATTACCCGAGTAATCGCAAAGCTTAGCGCCCACGTAATGTCCCCCTGGGCGTATAACTCACTCGCAGAAACCACATAACTCTAGCTTTCATGACTTTTTTTAAGAACAAATCTGCAAGAATAAAAAAAAGCACCGTGATATGGGAGGCAGATATACCCCAATTTGGCAGATCCAGATATGGATATATAAAAAATTGGGCAGATCTGGTTATATAAGGCTTATATAAACTGATGTGCTTGATATGGCCAGATCTGCCCAATTTTTTTATATATCCATATTTGTTTTTTTTATATAAGTCCATATCTGCCATTTTCGTAAGAGATGCTTTAAATTTGCAGAGGGGAGTCCTGAGCGACAAGTTGAGGATCGAACCAACGCCATTGAAGGCGCGTTCTGAAGACGGAAGCATTTCCCACAAGGTTTCTAAGATTCAGAAAGAGGGAAATTACGAGAATGATTACATAGGTAATATCACCACTTCATCAGTTATCACGCGAATCATTTTAGTAGTAACGCTGCTTAAACGTTGTCTACATTTGAAGCGTTTTTTTTAAACCTGACATTTCTTAATCATTTTGACGTATGATAATTTTTCACCACCAAGCGAGAGGCGATCATTTTTAGTTGGCTAACGGGCGTCGTTTGTTATCTGACCGCTGAAATGTACACTTTACGCCGCAAGCGCTACATGGATGTTTTGATCACGTTTCTAGCGGGAATATACGTTGCGCGTATTAGTAACTACGAAGTTTTTAGGCTCTCCGAGCGTATGTATACAAATGAATTGCTGCCACCATATTATGTCGAAAGCAAAATCTCCGGTAAAGATAACGTTTCCTCCCTTAGGAGGAAATCTGAGTCTACAGAATATTCACAAAGCTAAGACAGAGGACATCGATAAATTAGCATTATTTACTTCCATCACTTTTTTTTAAAACCTTTCAATGTGCCTGAGCCTCAACATTGAGCTGACCAGCATTTTTAAAATATAAAAGTTTTTTTTTTTTTTATCTGATATTTTTTTTTTTTTTTGCTGAGGGTAGATAGCTCTAATACCCGACACGGTAGAGTTAGCCTCTTCCTTGCGTCTTTCGAGCTCCACACCTCTTTATATTACATTAGCGCCTAAAAAGTATATTTGTGCGCAATAAATACCCTCGTTGAAATAGCAGTGTCGTGGGACTACTTTACACAACAATGCAGCACCAAACAACTCAACGTAATTTGATAATATTGAATACAACACGGAACATAACATGCTATAACAAAGTACAATGCAATATATAACACACCATATATTTTCTGCGTTCAATGCGATAAAATGCGGCACAATTCTTTCAGCTGCACCCGATTTCGTGGTCTCTGGAAGATTTGCAGACTCAGAGCAAGGTGAGTAAAATACTTGTTGGAGTCTGTAGGTTACAAAAGAACTGTAACCTACAGCTTAAGTTTATTATCAACCTTGTCATTCGCCGAGTACCCGCATAGATTGCAGCGATTGTCTCTACACGTGGTTCTCAACCATTGATGTTTCGCGGACCCCTTGTGGATTGGCGGAGATGATGGAGGACCCTGTTTGTGGCGAGGGGAAGGGGAGGGTGTGGGTTAATTATCATAATGATTTATTAAATGCACGTCACTAACGGCTAGTTTGATGTAGACTTCTCTTGATGTAGACTTCCGGAAAATCGGAATGTTTCATCTCAATCCGAAAGAAATACAACTTTTCATGTCGGGCCTGATAGATGAGACAGGGCTTCGCGGACCCTTAATGCCTTCACGGACCTTTATTTGAAAACCACTGGTCTAATCCAACTTCAAGTGCTCTGTGGGAGAGCACGAGCTTGAGGTTTGTTGGAGTATTTTGTGGGGTGGTATTTATTTATTTATTCATTTATTCTGTGTTACCCCGCAGCGCCCGGATGCATTATTGCAGGGGGTTCATAGTCAGTAGTGAAGGTAAAAATACACCCGTGCATGTGTACCAGAAAACAAAACAAAAACGCAACAACAAGGAAACGCAAGCACAGAAGAAAACACACTCATCACTAAAAGCGAGCCCGGAAAAAGATAGAAGCCACGTTGGTAATAGCTCGCATTTTAGGTACCTGCCAGATAATAACATCAGCTGAGAAAGATATGGGCTAACAGCAATAGCAATAACTCTAGCTTTTCGCGTGACACATGAGTAAAAACACAGATGCAATTTTTTTTTTCAAACAAGTTCAAAGGGTAATAAAACAATCAATGTAGGAACAGCTAAGCACACAGAAGTATCATGCCCAGTAATCACTCGAATTCTCATCATAAGGATCAAAAGTTTTCCTAGTCATATCAGTCTGCCCAGCTGTCACGTGAGAGTCTGTGAAAGAAAAGTGAGTTTGACAAGATAGAAACCGTGTCATTTGGTAGATGATTCCACGCTTTAAGAGTGTTTGAAAAAAAAATGAATAATTCAAAACATTTGTTCGGGGTGTCGATTCCCGAATTTTTCCTGAGTGGTTTAACCTTTTATATACACAGTTGGGTGGTTGAATGAACTTTGCTTTATTAATCCAGGTTTGGCCGTATAAGCTAAAAAACCCTCCCTTTCGGCAACAAAGGTTGACCATTGAGAACTTATGACTTCTCATTCTCGATTAGTATTGTATTACATAAAGAGTACGAACCGCATGAGGGTTCATGTAAAACAAAAATTAACAAACTTTTTTGTTAATGAGGTTACAGTTGCGGTTGATTTTCATTAAATCCGCTCGTCTATCCAGAGTAGTCAGAAACAACTTTTTGCATGATCCGATTTGTTTCCGATGTTTCGATAATATTTTCGCACATATATTTCAGCATGTGGACGTACAAGCCACTGGACACGAGAGATTAGAAAAGTAGAAAGCTACTGATATTATTTCAGAATCAGAGGAAGGTACATGACCGGTCAACCGACCACAAACATCGATGATTACTGCCACCGGGCTCCATACCATTCACTTCGGCGCCTTTGAGAACGTGGCTTTCTTCCGCCAAAATGAGCCGCAAGACGTGCCGTTCCAAACAGAGCGGGAAATAGCATCGAGCGGCCATGACCCAGACATGGCCTCAGAAAGGTCACAGAGTACCGTAAGTTCGCAGTCACCCGGCTCACATACATCACTCGAAAGACACTGCGCAGACATAATGATAGAATTACAGTCAAGCACGCCTCAAGCGTTTCCGAAACATGATTGATTTTAACATACTTTAACTTGCCCGCCCGCTGTCTTCTGAACGATGTATTGACAGTGTGAGCGCGGTCTGAGGATCGAAGAGAAGGAGTTCTTTCGACAATTCGGCAGAGTATACAGCCATCAAAACAAATGGAGCCGCCACTTCGCTTTTGTGCGGGACCGGCGGTAATTGTCTGAACGCATGAAACGTCAGTCGTTTCTATTCCGATTGCTTGACTCTATTGGCCGAACCACATGGAAAGTTCACCAAACTGAGTGTGCAATCTGATTCTAATGAGAGAAAGAGTGGAAGGTTTAGACGGTCATAACACGTTCGGGTGACAGTATAGCTGTTCTCGCTGACAACCTAAGTGATGCAGGGCGTTGTTCATGGTGTGAGTCGAGCATCTCATTCTCGCTCCACAGCCAATAAGACTGTGCATTAGCTTATAAGGGCGCCGAAAAGCCGACCTTTGAGACATACAGTAGGCTACAGCCCACGCGTCTTAAAGGAACAATTACGAAGTATTTATGCTCGCCAAGGTTTCTATTTGTACACCACACACGAGATAGCGACATACCCGCAACACAAGCTGCGGCTCGAAACTCGTTTTCTGCCTGCCCCAAAACCGCCGATTGAGATACACCCTACTGGCCGGTTTGAGTCGCTCTCAGATCTCTTCTCCGTGGTCACGTGCCGTTCTCTGAGGTTTAGACACACCCATCAAATATAAGTCGTGGCTCATCGATAGCACACGCTCTATATTAGGGAGTTGTACTGGGTCGTTTTTCTCCTCCGCTATGGTATCCCCGCAGAAAACGCCGCAGCTCCGCATGCGCTTCGCCCGCCTTCTCTGCATAGTTCAAGGTCTTGTGGCGGATTACGGAGCGCTATCCGGGTGCTTAGCGGGCTGCCGAAATGGTCTACTACAATTCCCTATTGTAACGTTGGAAAGTGAAATCGTAACCAAAATAAATGGTTGACTAATAGGCTGACAGATGACGCCAGCGCACAATCCACCTCGGCCTTCTTTTTGAGAAGCGGGTTGCTGGATCCCCCCAAGATTTCAACCGTCGGAGCAATGAGGGGGTAAGTTTAGGAGCAACTCAACGTGGTAGTTGGTTAAAGGTGACATATACGGCCACTGGCCAGGCAACACTTCCTTTGCTTTCCCTTCTTCAATACTCTGACTGACTGGGGAGTCGGTTCGGGGGATCGGTGGTGGAGTGGGCGGCCTCCGTTCGGACCGTGGAGCGAAAGCTTGCGCTGAAGAACCTCCTTGGTTCGATCCCCGCACCCCTGCCCGTTTAAATCTGGATGAGTTTCGTACAGGCACGCGTTCGTGTAATCACTGCTGCGTGATGCACGACCCCAGGTCGACGGTTGTGCTACAGCGGTTAAATTTCTCATTTACACCTAAGAGGCAAGTCACCCGTTGAGGTGTACTAGCAAGTGGCTGTACAAACATACAAGCAGCACAATTTTTGTTTTCATTTAGGGTTAAAGGGGGGAGAGGGAGTCGTTTCTTGACCCAATCCTGACCTTGGCTTGCTCAGGAGTTTCCTGGGGAACTTAGTCGCGCTGTCGCATCCCTGCGAGGTGGCGGCCTGGAAGCAGTTCTAACGTAATCTTCAGACTCGGTGTCCCAAACTGTACGCGACAATATAAATATATATATATATATGATACCCAATTTTCGTGGCTTCTAAAAAAAACTGCAATTACATTGTTTGAAAAGAAAAAAAATTTCACAGAAAAGCGGAAACACTTTGCGCACTCTATGCGTAATTTCAAAATGGCGTCGTGTCGCGGAGATAGCGGTTGTCGCTGGTTGGCGTCGGGTCACGCCACAATAGCGTCGTGGAGGCTGGCTGCCCGCCGTCGGCTGCCGCCTGCTGTCGGCCAGAACCAGTATTCCTCGTCCGCGGCTTGCCGGCCGCCGACGTCTGAGCAACCGGCCCGCGTGGGGTTGAGGGCTCGTCGTTTCTTGCCGGAGAAGAAATGAGCCCATGGGAGGTGGCGTAGCTAGTGATGTTGCAATGTCATGGCAACGCCTAAGCCGCTTCTCCTTGCGTATTTCACACTGCGAAGGAGCGTAGCGTGATTTCGTTTGCAACCCATTTTTGCCCTAGTGCCTTTAACTAGGGAGCGGTGGTTCGAAACTGTGCGACAGTACGAATGGTCAACACTTGCCACAAACAATTCAATCACTCATTCACAAAAGCCGCCCCTGTCTCCGGCGCGTAGTCGGGGCAGAAAAGCACTGGCCTGTCCCTTGGTGATTCGGTCGCGCCAACTCGGGCGGAACCAGTACCTGCGCCTCTTTGCCTTCAGAGCGGCGTCGTCGCAAGATCAACGAGCAGTCTAGGATGAACCCATTCACTCTAATCATCAGGTAATCATCGACACTCTCCATGTCGACAGAGTGCGGTTTTGAAGCTGATTTATGCGGAAAATGGGAGCCAAAACGGAATAACCTAACGAAGAGCAGACGACGAAAGCGCAAGAAATACGGCGCAGGCGCGCGCGCGACGAGATTCCCTCTTTGTTACGTGACTATAACGCCGGCAAGATAGAGGCCAATGCGCCACCTCCCACCTCCTCTTCCCTGCGTTGCGACGTGCCGCCCGGCGGCCCGACCAGCAGTGACATTGCCGCTGGTGTGGTCAGGCGGACAGGCCCTAATTAAGCAATGGCGGCGGACGAATGGTGTGGGACCTCTACTTCATAACTGCTGTTTGCGGTACTGGCGAATATGTCTTGCTTCGAAACAGAACTTGTTTACCGATCAAAATAATTAGGATTCCTTCCGTACGACGTTGCCGACCAACAAGGTGATTCGCACCAAGACCTCGCCGAGTCGTCGCCCCTTCGCCTGGCTGAAGACATCGCTCGTCGCACAAACACGACTTTGTAGGGGCTCGAAAATCACGCAAACGTCACACACAAAGCGCTTATATTTAGCGGTTCTTTTTGTGTGTGTGTGTGTGTGTGTGTGCGCGAAGTCCGACGTGCGCAATTTCCCTCTGCTTCAAACAACAACAAAAAGCAAAAAAAAACAAAAAAAACAAAAAAAAAAACGACGGGGAAAAAACGCAATCGGGTGTAATTACGTGACTTTAGGCATAATCCTCCTTTTCTGCATGCTTCTTGTTCCCCAGTCCAGTCTGGGTATCGAGCAGTTGCCT